TAAACAGTTTTATACACAGTGAGTGTAGCAGTGTTTTTCAGTATGAATCTGAGCTCTCAGATTAGTTGAATATAGTCAATGCATTTCATAAGCAGTTTCTGACAGCAGTAGTTTATTCATTCATTGCAGATTTCTTCTATTTTATATTCAAGCTTATTGTTCTCAATGAGTAGCTCTGACAGTTATTAATCATTCTGTTTTCATGAGAATAGTGAATCAATAACAGCTCATTGAAGATGATTCATATGAAAGACACTATAAATATCAGAAGATGTGTCTAGATAGTAGCGATGACTTTTTAGAACTTCAAGAACTGTGTATGTTACATGACAAATATATAGTAAAACAGAAGATTGATCACTTTGTATATTCTTAAAACTTAGTCAAACTTTGTCTCTGACATTAAAATGTTTAGTGAACTGTTGATACTTGTTGATCTGTTTTTTCTACTTCCGCTAAGCATTGATCATCACAGCTTTCACTCACTCATGAGCTTCTTGAAGCTTCTGAATATTTAAGTCAGTTATCTGTATTGAGCTCTGAGAGTTCAGATTGTAATCATGTGAGAGAAAGAGGAAGCTTATACTCATTATTGCAAGGCACGGGGTTCCCTATTGAAGAGGGTTCCTGCTGTATGGGCCTTCTGGAACTGGAAAGTCCAGTTTCAGCTTATCTGTTACCAGGCGTTTTGTGCCCAATATATATATACTCAATATTTCGAGCATTGATGACAGCTGTCTAAGCAGTTTGTTTGCCCAGCTTCCCTTGCATTGTGTCATTCTCTTAAAAGATATTGATGCTGCTAGTACAGCATGAATAGAAGACAATGAAATGATGAAAAACACCTGCCAGGCCGCGGTAGGTCCTTCACAGAAGAGCAAATCTCAGAGAAATGTATCTTTGTCCGCGTTTCTTAATGCTCTGGATGGCATGTCTTCACGAGGAGGTTGATTGCTAATTAGGACAACAAATCACATCAAGTGTTTGGATGATGCACTCATCCACCCTGGCTGAGTGGATAGACAGGTTTTGTTCCAGCTTGCTGATTAGAAAATGAGTTCTCATCTTTTATACACAGTTTTCAAGCAGTCAGATGGGAATCAGCGCACTACAGGAAAGGAGTTCAAAATTGAGTAACTTGCAGATGAGTTTGCTGCCAAGGTTCTGGGCCAGGTATTCAGCCCAGCTGAGATCCTGCTATCATTCCTGCTTGAACGCAAGCAGTCAGTCACCTAGTCGCCTACCGACGCAGTGGCTGACGTGGAGAATTGGGACGCCAAAACCAGCAAAAAAAAGGTGAAAGGTGAAAAATTACTCCAGGGCACGCGCAATTATCAACCCCACACGCCCTTTCAAAGATCTTGCAGAGAGCACCTAGGCGCACAGTGTGTGATCTACTGCGAAAGCCTGGCCGACACAACGCAGTCTTGCATCTCAGTTTTATGTTTTCGCAACTGAATGTTTGATGTGGATGATCAATCTGGGAGGCCCTCTGGCGTTTTGTTTGATGAGATGATTTTTCGGAGTTTACCTTCTAGGCAGGTGGACTGGGACGGATTCTACAAATCTTCCCCGGCTCTATTGCTTGTGGAGGTCACCTGTCAGGCAGTACACCTGTGAGAACTAATGCGCGCGTTTTGTTCTTTCTTTCTTTCCTTCTTCACATTTTTCTGTCAGTAATTGTATCTGATGGCAACACTGCTAGTTTTTACACTGAATCTCGATGAGTCGCGTTCTATCCGGCGCAAGATTCCCATTGCTTGATTTTTTTTTTTGTCGTAGTTTAACAATTGATGGAAATTAGTCAAATTTTGTAAACATCGCTAGCCATACATCAACGGGAAGCGTGGAGGGCGTACTGTAGATGGCATAGGAATCTCCCTCAGTTCGTAGGCTCTGTTTTTCCGAGTTTGCTTAATACGCCCTCATCTGATCAATGAAACTGTCCCTAGCTCACCAGCTGATGAATCCCATAGGCGATGTGATCCTTCGCGGTCACTCCCTGTCTGTCTCGAAGAAGGACCATTAACGTAGGCCAGGGGGTTGAAGGCATATAAAGCCCGTCCTCCTCCCAACTTTGCTTCTATCGCTCCATCTTCCCTTTCTCCTCACAAAAGTCGTCCCAACTTTGTGAATCACCGGACGCCACACTTCCGTCATGAGTACCAGGACAACCCAAACTCCTAAGATCGAATAACCAGAGACTGGCTCGGTGGACAGCAGAGGTGACAGTGGTACAAGTTCTGCCACAGGTGCACCGAAAACTCCCATTCTTCTACTTATAACCGGTCGCAACTAACGTCTAGAGCGCAGAAAGGAATGGTTGTATCGACCCGGGAACGAAAATGGCCACGAAGGTCCAGCACTCTGGAGACCAGCAGCAGGAGAGCACTGCTAAGTCTCAGAAGGACCTCTCCCTGGACTCTACTAGAACGAGACCGACATCTTCGGCGCCGGCAACACAGCTTTGGGAATCGGCGGCTCACAGTTATGTATATTGTGAGGAAGCTCCCGCTGGAAAAGCTATCCATATCACTCTCTCCAGAAACCCGCTCAACCTTCAACCCTCCAAAGCTGTACCAGATTGGACTTGACCAATTCATATAGCTCATGCAGAGAGCCCGCCAACGATTTCCTTTCAGCAGATGTACAAACCTTCCAGTCAGGAAGAGATGGACTACATCAGCAAGAGGTTTGAAGAATATACCGATCGAGTGAGACGTCAAACCCATATATTGGACAACTTTGACAATGCAGTTATCCTCGCGGACGCTAGAACACTATTTTCATATATTGCGCTTCTGGAGTCGACAATCAAAACCCAACGGGTTAAGGTTGCACCCCAAACTTATACGAAGTGCGTTAACCAACACATCATGATACTAGACCGAGACGCCATCCAAGAAGAGAACCATGCGATCGGTTGGGCCTGCAGGCCAGGAGAATTGTGGAAAGCAGCAGCGACGTTTTTGAAGTACACAGCGACCAGAGATGGGTCACTAAAGGGGAGGTGCAGATAGTCAGCAAACAATAGTCCGGTGCGGTTCCGAGGCCAAGGGTAGAAGGGGTCAAGTCATTCTCGAGGAATGAAAACCGCATACTTGACGGCCTGCCGGGGAATAGGAGACATTGTAAGCTCCAAGTTTCATATAGATACCGTAGGTTGTATAGGATATTTTTTCTAGACCTAGATACATCTTCGGAGAGCAGTAAGAGTACTGTTTATATGTTCTTCCTGTCGTTGTATGTCTGCTTTTTTTACCGCCACTATGTTGCAGGCGCTTATGCAGATCATTTGATTGGCTATCGTTTGCGAGTACCGTCATTTATTCCTGGGCAGCATCGGACATCCGATCGCAACAATCTGGACTCGTGATAAGTACTTGACGGATAGGCACAGACAACTTCAGTTTACATAATCCAATGGCAATTGCCTGGATACTATCGAGGCGTACTGTCCCCTTGAGGAGCATCTCACGGTTTTGCATTGTCTCTTAAGTCCATGTCTACTCATCCCGGACAAGAGTCAGATGGGCCAGCCACTTTAAATTTTCCCCGTTGACGCGGAACCACTTCATCACTACCGAAAAGGCGGTTATGACCCAGTCGCCTTGGGAGAATACCTGAAAGCTGGAAGGTATAAAGTGCTACTAAACTAGGATGGGGAGGTTACTCGACAGTTTGGGCGGTGAGAGATCAAAGGTTGTACAAAATTGTGTGGCTCATGTAGTTATATCTAACTGAGAAGTTGCCTGTTTGCAGGGAAGAGGTTTATGTTGCTGTCAAAATTTCTGTTGCGGAAGGGGACCGTGATGAGGAGACGCGAGAGCTCCAAACCATGAAGGAGTTGGCATCTCATCACATTTGTCTGAAACATATGGTGCACATGCTTGATGACGTCGATCTAAAGGGTCCAAATGGATCTCATAAATGAATGCCTGGTTTATGAGCTTCTGGGGCCTAATATTCCGGACACGATTGATGCACACTTTCCTGATGGGAGACTCCCTGGGAAGCTTGCCAAAGTCATTGCGGAGCAAAGTCTTATCAGGTTTGATAGCTTGCACCAACAGAATATTGGACATGGAGGTAGGTCACTCTCTTGGGGATATTTTGAACAATTCTCACCTAGTATAGATTTGCATACCTGCAATTTGGCCTTCACTATGCCTTACATGGAGAATGTAACCGAAGAGGGGTTTACTGAGATGCTAGAATAACCAGAAATTGGCTATGTCCGAAGGAGCGATGGGAAAGACCTGGAGCCTGGCATACCCAAATATATCATTAGGCCTACCTCATACTGGACACATTCTTGGAATTCGGCCCAGTCAATCAAAATAATCAACTTCAGGGAATCGTTTTTACCCACTGCAGTTCCTCAAACACTATACACACCTCTACCTGTTCAGGCACCTGAAGTTATATTTCAAGATCGCATTAATCGTTTTGACTTGTGGAGCATGGGATGCATGGTGGGTGAAATCACCCGAGGCTAAAAGCTATATATACAATGGTAAACTGATAGGTATGACAGCTCTTTGAACTTTCCACAGGCCAGCCACCTTTTGACACCTTCTTGATAACACCCACAATTCTTGTTGGCCAAATGCGAGAGGTGGCAAGTGATGACCTACCTGAAGGATGGCAAAGACTATGGGATACAATGAACGCAGGGGCGGCAAAACCACAGAAACACTGGGCCCAACTTGCAGGAATGACTGGAAGAAGTGTACTTCAAAAGCCTGGAGAGCCCCGATCTCACAAGAGAGGACATAGTGAGGCTGGGGCAAATCATTGGAAAGTTATTGCAGTTTGAGCCGTCTGCAAGAGCGTCGGCAAGACAAGTTCTAGATGACCCTTGGTTTAATGAGTGATTAGCCCACAACAAACAGTCATTACATCGAGAGTGTGTGTGGCAAACTCGTTCTCAACCAAGATTGTACCGCTTCATCGTAACTCCAGTTAATTTAATGAAACATTTTAACTCTGCAAAAAATTCCTCAATCGGATTCAAGTCCGGCTAGTGGGGCGGCAGATAAACCAATTTCACTCCCGCGTCCGCACACACCTGCCCAATCCGCTCTGAACGACGAAACGACGCATTGTCCATATTATTTCACAACAGATTTAGGCTAGGGTCATTTTCCACAGTGCTCAAGAAGCTGGGCTATGAAGTCCTCACAGATACTTGCACGGGGGCCATGCCAAGGGGTGACCAGCCTGTCCGTCTGAACCCAACCCTTTTATCGCATTCAGATTCATCAACGTACCCTTGGTGATATGACTGAAAAGTCCGATCAATTGTGCAAATAGCTTTCTTGTAAGTCGGCGTTTCGCTCCCTAGCTTACTGCCGAGCAGTCTTTTTACTTTTGGCGACAACGGCTCTTCTGAGTCGCTGGAGGTTGTGGCCAGGGTGTGGAACTCATCCCAGAGGAAGGTAGCCATCTCATCTAGATAGAGACTGGGTTTGTCAGGCAGGTGGTCGCAGAGCGCTCTGATCATCAGTGGTTACGGTCCGTCTCCGGCCTATTCGAGTTCGGGGTGCGTGGACCCTTCACCCAACTGCCGCAGGTTTCTGCGAATATTTATGATCGTAACTTTTGCTGCATTTAGTTTCTTCAGCCATTTGAGATGTGCTTAGTGACTGGCTCTCTATCATATCACGGATGAGATGCAGCTTTGGGGGGGGGTAAAGTCTCAGAGCCATATTGCAAGGCCTAACGTTGGGTGACACTCACAAGTAATGCATGGATCAAGAAGCCTCTCTGGTCGGGGTGGGCAGGAGAGAAGAGGGGCTCAGCGGTAACAGGCCATTGAGGGGATCGCTTCCAAATTGGCAGATAGTTTAGGAAAAAGAAAATTGGATGCTTGTTGCGCAGTTCTCCGGGCCAGACTGTCATCTTTCACCTTTTCGCCGTCGAGAGGGGGGGAATGCGCGATCGGCGAACTGAGGCTACTGGTCCTGAGACAAACAGATATCGACAGTCGTTGCGGCGGTAGGAGAGAAATGATAGGCTATCAGCAATTGGTCGGTGGTGATGGACGCGACACCAGGGATTTTGACGGCACACTTTCAGCGTCGTGAGGGTTCTTAGCGGTGGGAGAATGGCTAGATGGCACTGGGTCGTACATTCCGTCCCAATCGGATTCCAGGACCACCCGGTTCCTTCCTCAGCGGCTCTATCCATGCTCTCTTTCCCGTAGTTACCTCATCAAAACCAAGCGCCGTTTCTTTCCCAAGCAGTTTGAGGAAATGTATTTGAGAGGCTAGGATATTCAGTCTCGCTAGAGGAGCTAACTTTGATTTTTGATGTACTGTCGTTTTTTAGTCTTACGTTTGTTTTATTCTTCACTTTGCCTACGCCTTGCAATACATTTTTTAAGTTCTTCGAGATTGTACAAGTTGATGTTTGATTTATCCGTTTTCCCTCTCCCACTACTTTAATAATGTATCCTTGTTCTGTCGATTGATTTTCTCAGAGATGAGTTTCCCGTTTATATATGATTTGGATGGAAATGTATCATGCATTACTCTATTTCTTATCTTCACAGAAAGAAAACAAGCAGTCGGTGAATCAATCTCCCAGCATTATTATCATTGGCTAGAATATAATAATGATGTCATTTTTCTTGCTATTGAGGTTCTCTTCATTTTGACATGCCTGCATGTTCTCAAGTTGCTTAATCAAAGAAGTGACTTTGACAATTTGTGATTTCAATCTTCAAATTGAAGTAATTTGAGAAATACTCCTATAATCAACAGCGTGAACATGCATATCCTGTCAAACTTTTGAAACAGAAATAAGAGTAAATATGATAGTTCACATTAGGTTTAAATCATTAATTTATTAGACATTAGTGGAGATGATAAACATACATTTGAAAATAACGAGGCCTGGCGTTTTTGACAGTGTGGAATGAAGAAAATGGGGGTAATAATTAGATGACATGGATCCCAGGAAGCCTCGAGTACTTTTCAGATCCAAGTATGTCAAATTAAACAAAACACAAATGATAGTTTGGCAATTTGGTGACAAAGAAAAATAAAATTCCAACAAAATCCACGCAAAATTGAATAGTAAATTGGCAAATGACAAAGGAAGGCATGGTGGCTCGCACATCTTTGGCTGTATCGTGTTGTTGCAATTTGAGGAAAGCCAAGATGATCTCTCTTAAGATGGCTGCAGCGTCATCAGACGCAAATATGTGGTGAGGAATGACATGCTTAGTTAGGCATTGGATGGAACTGAATATCTGTCAGTGATTTGATTAAAAAGCTCTACCAACTCAAATTGTGAACATCGCTATCCAAACACATACCATCTATCATCCTCGTATTATTTGTCTTTAGAAGGCAAAGCCATTTCAAGCGGCTTGTAGTCCGTAAACTTGGAAGGCGACGTATCGTCGAAATAGTTCATATACGCCGACTCCTCCGGGCTAATGGTGTGGAAATCACCACAAAAGGCAATGGCGTGATAAAACTTAGTGACGCTCTCTAACATGTCACGGTCTGGGAAGTCGCATGCTCCGAAATTGCACCATAGGGTAATTCGCATATCACGAACGTTGGTCTCGGGGTCTGTCGTCAAGGCTGCGCGCACTTCAATCCCACTTTGCGGATATTGGATGAAGAGTGTTGAATCTGAACTGTCGTTATTGAACCTGAATTTGCCAAAATTCAGATAGACCCCCAGGTCTTCATTGAAAAACGACATAATTTGGAATCGGGCGATGGTGGACGGGTCGATTGCTTGTTTCGCAATGTCGAGCTTCAGGAGTAGATCGCCGTCTACGATCCGTGCGTTGGAACGGAAGTAGGCGAGCGTGTTCCACGGTATATGTTCGACGCTATCCTTGTAATTGAGGACACTGGCTGGTGGACCATTCTCTGGACCTAATCGATATGCCTCAATAATCGCCTTTGCCGTCGAAAATGGCAATTGAAAACCCGCAACTGGATGAATATCGGGTTCACTCTCCTCACTATAAAGGCTTTCTTCCGATGAAGAAGATACCTCATTGAGAAGAAGACAAAGGTCGCTGTGGGTAAATCCGACCCCATAAACCTTAAAATCTCTGGGATAGTGCCAATCGAAAAGATCAGTTTGAAAGAAATCAGAAGACATGGCGCGATCATTCTTTCGCATTTGTCTTTTGTTTTGCTGGCGTCGAATGCAGGATCGGGTGCCCCTGTAGAGAAAGCGAAAGCCCCTGCCGATTGCCTTTACATTTTCGACAAGTGGAATCATGGTGTCTTCACAGATGGCAGTAAACTTCAGAAATAATCTCAAGGTACTGTTGGCTTGTGATCCTGGAGTTACGTTGAGCCGCTATGGAGGATTTGTGGCTGGCTGCGTCAGTGAGGTCCACAGCAATGCGCTTGATGGAGAGCCTTTTGGCTGATTTTAAACGCGCTCAAGGCAATTGCGGCTTCAAAAGCTCAATTTAGTGAATAGAGCAGTATATTTGCTTGAGCTGCTTTGTATATTGATCAACAAGAGTCGACTTTCAAAGTAAATCAGGTAGATTTAAAACAGTTAACTGGATACTAGACGTTTGAGGAATTGGAAGAGAAAAGAGAAGACAGTTACAGCGGGGGAGGAAAGCCCTCTTGAAATAAGAACTATTTTGCGTCATATTTGTCAGAAGATGTAAATTTACGTCAACGGCAGTATGCTCTTCGGATGTTTGGTTTGGATGAAGTTAGAATCCGAAGATCAGAATTCAAAGTATGCCAAAGATATTTCTGCAGCATCCCAAGCTTTGTTAATAAAGTAATACTGGAGTTTAGTGTATGGCAAATTCGTATCTGGTTCAAAGAGCTCGATTTTACATGGATGGATGGGATTCCAGGTTGATGATGTAAAGAAGCGGAGGGGAGAGGTTTGTGGTTTCGCTTAATTAACTAACGTGTGGGATTAGCGCTACCCGCGCGTTTAACGGCAAAATCTATTTTTACATCATTCCGAGATAACCAACTCACTCCGTCAGCGAGGAATCTGTTTTCGCTCATTAACATTCAGTAAATGCATATCCAGTGGAGTTTCATAAGCTTCTATAAATCCTTATTGTCGGAATCCTGTTTAAAAACCTATGTAGTAATATAGTAGAAAATTCAATCTCGTTTGTTAATGGGGGAATTTGAGTTTGATGGTATTTCTGCCACGCCCAGGAAGATAACCATGGAAGTTACTGAAAGTGGATCTTAATCTGTGCCTCTGAAAATACGCAGTTTAACATATGGTCATTGTTTTACTCCTAAATCAAATAATGCTTTCATTGCTGTCTGATAAGACTATATGCACAGCGCATTACATTGTTCTGAAGCCCAGAGCCCATCAGTCAAGCCGGTCACTATTCATCATATCTAGGATGTTTTGTGCAGCTCCTACATAAATCCCTCTTGGGGGCATTGTTATCGGGAGTATGTCTACCTCCACAAATAAGCGGTCGTACTTCACTATCGTATTTTTGGGTAACAGGGCATCGAAGTTACATGTAGCGCATATCTGATGTTTTAACTTTTCAGACCTGGTGTAGACGGTTATTCTCATGCGTCTCTATGTTTTTCCTTCCTCAAAACTTCTAGATCGAAAGTGCTGCATCATGTTGGTGAGAGCCTTGTTGCGGATTGCACAGGAGGTCTTTTGCAGTGCTTCTGCTGGTTGCTTAATAGCTTCCCATTTTTGTCTTTGTGTACTTGGGACAATGGTTGCGTATTTGATATTTTCCATTTTGTACCTCTTAGTTGTTAGAATGGTAAAACACTGGGAGCGGTTTTTCAATAGTGAGCTCTTGTTGAAGGGTAATTTAAAAAATTCTGATGGCAACTTTGTTTGCACTAAAAGAGTGGAACAACCTGTCACCTGCTCCCTATAGTTATTCTTAGCAGCCTATATGTTTATGTTTACAAGGCACTGATTTCCCATTGTACGGGGAAAGCGAATTTAGCAAAAATAGGCATAGCATAGATAATTTGTTTGATGGGAACATTAAGGATATAATTTACATGCCGCCTGCCTACTTATCACTATCTAGGAAAGAGATATTTGCATTCTTAAGAAGCCCACCATTCAGGCATTCAACCCAGCCTAAATCCTGTCTGTTATTCGCTGACTTTTTACGAGTAAGCAAACAATCGAACAGTAATTAGAAATAAAGGCCGGCCTAACGTACCACGGAGCGGCTGATTCTCTCTGAAAAACATCAAATATTCAACGTATTCAAGAACCAACACACTTAAATATTTAAAACATTAATAAACTAAGATCATCTAATAGTGCTATTTATTAGGGCAACTGTGTATAGTATGTTCAATAGTCCCACAGCCTCTGCAGTGTGGTGAAGCAAGCTGCTGAACACGCCCATAATCTTCCTGTAAAAATAGAATACTATCCTGACCTAGATTAGCATGTCTCTGTCTCTGTGTCTTTTTCTTTGTCTTCCACTCATTCTCTGCTCATAGATTCTTGATTTCTTGAAGAAGAAGAAGAAGAAGAAGAAGAAGAAGAAGAAGAAGAAGAAGAAGAAGAAGAAGAAGAAGATATAACTACATTCAATAATTGTGATCCATTCACAATTCCCCTGGATAACTGTACATGACCTCTCACTGCACTCAGCTGCAGTAATGACTTTAGAGATTGTACCAAGTCTTATTGCAAAGTCAGCCTCATCAAAGTTTCAGATATCATCTTCATGACTTCCATGTTTTTGAATAGCTTCAAGTATCATCTCTAATCATTGTTTTATAATCTTTGAGTTCTCCTGCTTCACCTGTTGATAGGATATACAGTGATTATAGTGTGTACATAGTTGAGAATGATGTTGAATGAAACTAGATGTTCAGTTGACTCTAAGAGTGATTATAGAATCAAGAGTATGTGCTTGAAGTAGAATCTGTGCCTTTTATGTAGGAACTTTGATTGAATTGAAAATCCTCACTTATCTGCATTCAGTAATTGCTTGAGAAGGGTTTCCTCTTCAATCTCTGTCAATTTGTGACAATATGTGTGTGTTTCTGAGTGTGATTTGATGTCAGCAAGTCATTTGCACAGGGTAGTTTCAGAAACCTCATATCTTTGAAGCTTTCATCTTTGATGTATATTTTTTTGATTTATATGAAGCAATGGCCAACTGTATGTGAGATTCTTGAGATAAGGACATTTTGAAGAAAAAATGTGACAAAATGATATGTTGAAGATAGTTGGGTTGAATATTTGATCATTTTCAGAGAGAATCCGCCGCTCGGTGGCGAAGTACGTTAATCAAAAAGAGATCGGAAAAATCCCCACTTTGCGGTCATCCTCCACAGTATTCCCCCATTCCTTTCGTCCCATCATTCTCAGTTGGCCTTGGAACCAGCAGCTTTATCCCCGTCGAGAATAACGAGTTCCTTCTCAACCGCATCTATCTCCTTGTTATCCCCCGCTAACCTTAGCAGCGTAGCAGTAGCTATCTCAGGCTTCCGCCCATGCCCAAACAATCTAAACTGTGCGGGCGTCCGTTTGCCAAAATACACAGCTTTGAGCACTGAGAAGGCACGTAATGGGTGCCAGGTGAAAAGCCCCCGGGCAAGACGAGCAAACGTGGGGTTTGCATCAAGGTCGGCGAGTAATGAGTCACAGTAGGGTAGGAAGCGGACGGTTACTGTGTGGCGATCGGAGACCACCATCTACCTAATGTGAGAAGAGGGTGTCCGTTACTGAAAATAGGGAAGTTCAACATACAGTCCTGACCAATTCCTCCTGGAACTCTTTCACCCATTGATTCATCTTATCGACTGGAGGCAGCTTCACTTTCCCGGTTACGATTGATGACGCCCATCTCGCCTGGATTTCAGCGACGGGAAGAAGAGGACCCCGGAATTCAATATATCCAATGAAAAACAGGTTAGTAAACTGGGGAGGAACGACAAGTTTGTAAAGATCAATGGAGTTATGTGACTTCAGAATTGGATTGTTCTCCACATGATAAGTCTCCTTGGCAAGATAAGGGGCTTCCATATTATAGCCTGTGCAAATAATTACAGCATCAACATCTAATTCTGTGTTGTTCGTGAGATTGAGAGAGTGCTCAGTGAAACTCTTCACACTCGCACGATGTGCTTTGATTTTGCCAACCTTGATAAATTCGAGCAGATTGCTGTGGACTGTTATGTTGGCCTGGCTCAACTTGTGATCGGGTTTAATTTCCTCAGGCACCTCACCAACAGCAAATACAAGTAGTTGTTTTTCGCACCATTCTGCAAACCGAGCGGGCACGATCGATTCAGAGATTCGACCTAGAGTTGCACCCCACAGATTAAATGGGAACTATGCGGAGGTATATCATCGGGTGAAACACAATACTTACTCGCGTATGATTCGGTTGGCTGGCCAAATAGAAATCGTGGCCAAATCCATCCGCCTCTCCTAGTAACCATGTGCACCTCCTTCGCCACAGGCACCAGCTCACACGCCAGATCCACAGCTGAACTGGCAAATCCAATAAGGGCAACTTTCTTCCCCTCAAATCTAGCTGCTCTCCGGTATATATGGCTGTGAAGGACCTCTCCTTTGAAAGAATTCAAGCCTTCAAACTCAGGAATCCAGGGGCGGGAACTGTGACCCGTACATGCAAATATGGCATCATACACCGATGTAACTTCGTCCTCCCCGGTTTCGTGATGTAAGACTGTCCACCTTCCATCGGCAAGTTGATTGCAGGAGACTACCCTCGTCTGCAGCCGTATAAATTTTCTCAGCCCGAAGTGGTCCGCATAGTGCTCTATATACTCTAGCATCTTGCGATGGCAGAAATAGTCTGGATAGTGCGCAGGATCAATGGGAAAATCGCTAAAAGAAGTACCATCGCGGAACGAGTTCAGGGTCACGCCTTCATACATAGAAGATACGGCATGGCCTGTCTCGGGATCCGGTTCTTCGTAACGCCATTGCCCTCCGATTCCATCTCGGGCTTCGAACAGAGCAGCATCGAGACCTTGAGCCAGACATTCTTTTAAGGTAGTTAAACCACAGGGACCTACAAGCAGATTAGGCAGCTTATAGATATATTTTTTGCACGGTAGGAAATTAGGAAATCATGTTCGAATTGTAATTTTGTCACTCACCACCACCAATAATTGCAACCTTCTTCGCAGCCATGATTTTGAGGAAATATGTTGAATTTCTGAGATGTTGAGATTGTATACGGAAATCTGAAAACGTAGAACCTTTAGGGCTGAAGATGGGAAGTGGTCTAACCGATATGAGCTGATTGATCGAACAAGAAACTGGCAACTAGGAACGCGCGGAAAAGGAACACAACAGAAGAAGGTACATCGAAAGAGATCTCTTTTATCAGCGCAATAGGCTCTGAAACAGCTATAATATATGGAAGAGAAAGCAAGAAAGATGCAGTGGACGGTCATTAAGAAATTGCACAGCTGGATAAACCCTGTCAAAATGAGTGGATGAGCCAACAGACTGACTCAACAAATGAATAGCTGGAAGATGCTATTATAAAAAAGACAAAACACATTTCGGACGTGAGAGCTGGGCTGCGCCCGGCGGGTAGTAATTAAGACCCCGACCGAGACATCTGGCTGATCGTCTCGCCATTTCTTCCTTGTTCTTTCTCTCTGATATAGGCTAAAACTCTAACAAACCGGTCGCGGAGACTTCCTTGAACCCTGCAGTACATTATTTATAAGCGAAGTTGAAACATTGCTGCCGCAGGAACACGGAGTTCTGGATGTTGCTGTAATAGTGTCAAGTTGTCGAGTGCTAGTTGGGTGGGTTATTTAAGCTCCCAGGAGATGAAAGGACAGGCTTTTTAACTTTGCAATAAATATCAGTGAGGTACAAGGCAAATTTGCCCTGTCGGATTAGCTGACTAGCTAGAACAGCAGATCCCTAAACCGAGATTATATCTTCTTTGCGGAGAACAATATGTCACCACCATAACCTGAGAATGGCAACCTTCATTGATTTGCAAAGGATGCTAACTACAAGAACGATCTATGTATGATGGAAAACGGGTCACGTGACGGAAGGGTCCGACATAGCTAGAAGCTGATGCCACTTCAGATGCTTTGTGCAGATGATATAATGGAGTGCTTGCTTCAAGGGATACCTGCCTGTCGATGTTTGCCATTGTTTGTCATTGCCGGTTGTCCTCGGGCCCGGTCCACTTAAGGAAGAGGTAAAACTATCATGATAGTTATCTTTTACTTTCAAGATATAGACACTAGCATCACAGGTGGTTCCATTCGAGAAAGCTCTAACTAGCTGCTTTCTGGATTTAACTGTGCTCTCTAACATCAAAATGTTAACTACCATGCACGACACAATGTACGTTTGCTATTATAAATTTCGGTCCGGATTGGGGCTCAGTGGGTTTAGGTAAAGGGTGCGGCGGGGTCTCCACGCATCTAGTAGACTATACGATAAAACTGTACGTCGTAGGATCACATTATTACGATGGGAGATACAGGGGGGAAGGGGGAGGGGTGGAAGTGCAGAGGATTTATATAGTTCAACAACGGCTTTGATTGAGCTGCATTTATCGTTTTGTTTCCTTTTCACCATTACCCTAGAAAGTACGAGGAACAGAGCCAAAAAGTAAAACAACATTTCTTCTTTGTCTTGGCCATTTTCCCCCCAATATATGACAACACCAATAACTGATTATGACGGTAGATAACAAGGTATGTAACCGCTTACCACCCTCAGTTCTTACTTATGCTCTCTTCTTGCCCTTAATCCAAAATGAAGAGAACCACCTCTCTGCACCACACTAATCGTTACCATCCCCCCCCCCCTTCAGATCCTCCACGACATCAAACCAACCGTCATCCACCAACCCCTCCTAAAAACCATTCCTCCTGAGCTCCTCCCCCGCTTCGACCCTGTCTATGTTGAGCATTACAACCGCTACAATGTTGGCCGCCTCAACACCCACCAAGTCCCAATCGAAGACTTCCGCGCAAACCCCATCAAAATACGTAATCTCCTACAGCCGCGCCGCAGGCCCGGACACGCACAAGATTTCTCACAGCAACAGTGCCCCATCAAAGATGGCGAGATCACCCTACGCATCTTTTTGCCTGAGTCCCTACCAGGCAAGGATGGCAAGCCGAAAAAAGAAAAGAGGTGTCTATATCAATTTTTACGGCAGTGGATGGGTGTTTAATGGTTGGCGTCTGACCACGATCTTTGCAAACGTGTCGTGCATGAGTTGGGCGGTGATGCTGTAGAGATTGATGTGCATGACCAGCTTGCACGGGAGTTTAAGTATACCACTGGCATTGAAGATTGTTGGGCGGCTTTTAAATTGGTGAGTGCTTTGCTTGCGCTACAATCACGACAAAGATGATTGAGTTATAAAACCTTTTTTCTTCATCCTTTAGGTCCACGAAAGGCCGAAGAGCTCAACATCGACGTCAACAGGATGGCGGATGGCGGAACATCAGCAGGCAGGCACCTCAGCACCGTCCTTGGCCACTTGTGCCGCGACAATGGCTACGGGATGACGGCGAGGCGTCAGCGGAAAAGCTCAAGGCTGCTGATGTGCAGGTTGAGGTCATCCGGATTCCTGGCGTGCCACACATTGTCGGCCATCTGGATGACATTCTGGAGGGGGGGGGGGAAAGTTCTTTAATAAAAAGAGCTTTAAGGAGTCGGGGAAGGCTTTGAAGGGTTGACGGTTGGATGTAGAGTCGCCGTTGGAAGTCAACAGAAATTCCATTGTTTTGGAAATCGGTAAGCAAGGATTGAAAATTCAGCTTTCTTCAAAGGTCCCTTTTGAGGGTTAGACAGGTTAAACAGTTTCTTTGGATAGAATCTGTTATCTTGTGTTTTATCTGCAATGGATTTTCTTGTGGCTCATCTTTTTCATGTTAAATCCATCAAGAAGGCTATGGCTTAGAAATAGCCAAATAGAATGATTTAGATGATTTCCTCCAGTCAATAGGAAAACAAAGTTGAAGTTATCATGAAGGGGTTCACCTCATTCTCGCATGTCATTGTGATGAGAAAGGGCTTCTTAACCTGCAACAGGGCAAAATGCACTGAGAGAAATGGTGATTAGTTCTCAAGCTGTTCAACTGGACAAATGACTACCATCAAACTGTGAATTCACAGATAGGTAGTCTGCATATTGATTTATAAACATCTTGAAGTTGAAGACGGCTGATCAGATGTTGTTCTTTTATTCCTCATTCATGAATGCTTCCATCAGAACATGGAAGGGGAGACTATACCAAATAAGGCCTAGTTATGAACCATAGAACCAAAAATACAAAAGCGTATATTATTACCAAACTAAAACATATCTGTTCGCATACATGGCATAAATATCGCTCACCGACCACAAAATACAGTACCACCCCGTAACCGGGGAGACTCGGGTGAGGTTCAATCAGCAAATCATGGGACGTAAATTATCTTTTGTCCAATATCTTCAAATCGTCCAATCTTCTTTTTCTTCTTCTCTATCCTCATAGAAAGTTGTATATTATTATAGACCTAGAAGTTCTATTGCTTTGACTTTACTTTCCTTTCCCCCGTCTCAATTGCCCTATTCTTATTTTATATGTTTAATTTTCCATTTTCCCCTAACCTCTTTACGCTTCTTGTGTCAAAATTTTACTAGCCCGGTACAGGCGGTTACATCACCCCTGTTGTCCGACATTTCCCTTCGCCGCCAGAAACCATGCTGACCTCCTTCTCCAGCACTTTAACGACGTGCGCCGCACTGCGGGGTTCAATGTCAACCCTGACTTATGCATGTCGCTCCTCACAACTGGATTTATTGTTTAGTTCTTTTGCGAGATCATCGTTGTCACGATCTGCTGCATTTGCCAATCGATTCAATGCCCGCAGACCAATAAGTTCTTTATCGCTAACCCAAAAGCAAGGCGGCTATCTGAATCGTTGTGTTTATAACAATACTGGTGCTACCTTTGCAAAGAGAGGATTTGCTTCTACCAGTTCAACGATGGTGCGGTTTCTTCTTGACTTTTCCCGTGACCGGGTATAGGATTAGCAATGATTATAGTTGCTTGAGAGTGAAAATGGTTCTGACTTGATATTTGGAATTGGTTTCTTTAGACTTTTAGAACGGAAACCGATGCCTTTGGCGAAATCCAGGTATGGTTTATGTAGCTGTTATGTGGACTCTCTTGAGACAATGAAGTTGTCCCTGACGACTATTTGTGTATAGGTTCCCGCGGATAAATACTGGGGCGCACAAACACAACGGTAGGGATGCAGCAAATAAACAAACGTCGATTCTGCAAATGGGGAAAAGGATTGTTAAATTGACACTCCTGGGTGGAAATTGTGTAGGTCTCTGACCAACTTCGATATCAACCAGCCACAAGACCGGATGCCGCCACCCATTGTGCGAGCTTTCGGGATCCTTAAGGGTGCCGCTGCGACTGTGAACATGAGATATGGACTTGGTAAATAACCTTATTGATGTAAATAGCAAGTGGCTTTCAGCTGATGTTTTATTGTTCTTAAGATCCTACCATAGGCAAAGCTATCCAGCAAGCCGCTGCAGAAGTCGCGTCGCTCAAACTCATCGACCACTTCCCACTAGTTGTCTGGCAAACCGGCTCCGGAACCCAATCCAACATGAACAGCAACGAAGTCATCTCGAACCGCGCCATCGAGATCCTGGGTGGTACCATGGGCACGAAGAAACCGGTCCACCCGAATGACCATGTCAACATGTCCGCCTCGTCCAACGACTCCTTCCCCACCGTCATGCACATTGCAGCCGTGCTGGAACTTGAGGAATCGCTGCTCCCATCCCTCACCAGCCTCCGCAATGCTCTTCAAGCAAAGGTCGAGCAGTTCCAGAAAATCATCAAAATTGGCCGAACACACTTGCAGGATGCCACCCCTCTCACCCTAGGCCAGGAATTCTCTGGCTACGTCGCGCAGCTGGACCGTGGCATTGAGCGCGTCCAAAATACACTCCCGCACCTCCGCTATCTCGCGCAGGGCGGTACAGCCGTTGGCACAGGCCTTAACACCTTCAAGGGCTTCGACGTTGCCATCGCAGAAGAAATCAGCAAGATGACCGGTACCGAATTCAAGACAGCCCCGAACAAGTTTGAGGTTCTCGCGGCGCACGATGCTGTCGTCGAGGCGTCAGGATCCCTCAACACTCTCGCCTGCTCCCTCTTCAAGATCGCGCAGGACATCCGCTACCTTGGCTCTGGACCCCGCTGTGGTCTGGGTGAACTCATCCTGCCCGAAAATGAGCCTGGTTCTTCCATCATGCCTGGTAAAGTTAACCCGACGCAGTGCGAGGCGTTGACGATGATCTGCGCACAGGTGATGGGGAATCATGTTGCGGCTACGGTGGGGGGGATGAATGGGCAGTTTGAGTTGAATGTCTATAAGCCGCTTATGATTCGCAATCTCTTGCATAGCATCTGCATCTTGAGCGATGGCATGCGATCGTTTGGGAAAAATTTGGTTGATGGGATTCAGGCTGATGAGAAGAGAATCTCTGCTTTGTTGCATGAAAGGTAATGTTTCTCTTATTTTATTTTATTTTATTTTATTTTATTATTTATTTTATTTTTTTATAAAAAAATCACTGGGAGAGACCAAGTGATACCCCTTTGACCATATTTGAAAGGCGATAACTGACAACGAAATACGTCTCATGCAGCTTGATGCTTGTCACCTGTTTGAACCCGGTGATTGGATACGACATGGCTTCTAAGGTTGCTAAGAATGCGCACAAGAAGGGATTGACCCTGAAGCAGAGCGCGATGGAACTAAAGGCCCTTACCGAGGAGCAATTTGACGCCCATGTCCGTCCGGAGCTGATGATTAGCCCCAAGGAAAAGAAATAGATGTTTATTCTACTATGTACATGTATTTTATGTATGTTATGCCGGCTCTTATTAGGTGTTGCTTTCAGGGGATTTATTTTTTCTCATTGTAAAAATTTCACATTTTTCCTTTCTTCGGTTCTCTTCTCCCATTTTCTTAGGCACATAGATAAAAGGAGTGGTTCTAGTAGTAGGATATGTGGGAATATGGGTCAATATCATAAAGCAAAGGTTACGTAGAACGATTGCAGAATGTTTCGGTTCAACTAGTTATGCCCCAGTCCGGCTAGGCTGTAGTTAATTATGTGTTATTAATAAGCAGGCCGTTCCTGAATTTTCAGTCTAATCCCAGGCAAGGCGCAAACAGAGCGAATTGCCGAATCTAACAAACTCAGCACCTGAAACATCCCTATAATTTTGGAAGCCTCCGCCTCAACCCCATAAATACAACCACTGACGACCTGTTCTTTTGCACACCCTTTTTCTTTTTCATAACTTACACTAGCTTGAGAGAATCGCATGCACCCTATTGACAACCCCTCCTTAATCGCGCTTGATTGCACTCTGTCGCCTACCGTCGCATCTGTTAACTCCAATTGTCGTGCCCTTCAGGGACACTTGTCTCAACAGGTTCTCCTCTGATATATCCCACATATACATGCCAACAGAGTACAGAAAGGAAAATCACACCTAATTGCGATATATATATATATATATATATATCTTCCTTCCTCTCCTATCTGTCGTCACAATCCTTCACAATGACCACCGAAATTGCCTCCACAACAACAAACGGGATAGACAAGCACATCCTCTCACCGCCCCCCTCCCATTCTCTCTTTCTAACCCCAGCCTCCTCCAACTCCATAGAAGATGACACCCCCCTCTTCTGCCCAACCTACATCTCCCCCTCTGTCCAAGCACAGCTTCCAGAAAACTACACAATCCGGCCCTTAAGACGCTCAGACTACACCTCCGGCTACCTGGATGTGCTCCGCGAGCTCACCAGCGTCGGCGACTTCACCGTGGACCAGTGGAATGAGCGCTATGACTGGATGGCTAAGCGGAACGAAGAGTATTTTCTGCTTGTTGTCTGCAATGGGCATGGGAAGGTGGTTGGGACAGGAAGCCTGATTGTTGAGCGCAAGTTTATTCACTCGCTTGGTCTGGTGGGGCATGTGGAGGATATTGCGGTGGAGAGTGGGCAGCAGGGGAAGAAATTGGGATTGCGCATCATTCAGGCGTTGGAGTCTGTAGCGCAGAAGGTTGGGTGTTATAAGGTATATGATTATTTTATTTCTTTTTATGTCTTTGTATCTTTGGGTTCAGGGGCGGCGTGTGGGATACATTGGGAGTGAGAATGTGTTTGGGTTTACATTTTCTCTTTTTGCTAACTCATAATACAGAGCATTCTTGACTGTTCAGAAGCGAATGAGGGGTTCTACTTAAAATGCGGCTTCAAACGTGCTGGTCTTGAAATGGCCCATTACTACAACCGCTCCGAGTAATAATTTGACCCCCCATCCACCCCTTACCAACCTGAATCTCTCCTCACCATACTCCGAGAACATATACTTGCAACAAATAACTCCAACCTCAATGAAAGTCTCTCTAATTTCACCAACCTCTCACCGAAGCACGAACTAAATGGGACAACAACAATAACAAGCTTCCCTGACTTTTTTATAACCATCATCGTCCCTATGATCTGTGCCCCCATATATCTTCATTCTCCCCTTCTCTGGACTCTTGTGCCAGGAAATCCCACTCACCAAGCCTATCTACTCGTCGCCCAATTGTTTGTTCTCCAATTCTCCAATTTACGGAGCATTTATGATCCAGAGAAGGTTTTATATCTCTCCGTGCATATGCATTTCCGTGTACCACGCCACATCTATCTGCATCACATCACTTGCCCCGGTCTTAAGGTAACTAATTACAGTTGTTGCATGGGATATGGATAGGTAAGGTGGTCTGTTCTGTGTTTGTTTTGTTTTGTGATGTCTCTGTTTCTTTTGAATGGTTAATTCAACTCTTAGACGCTGATTGTTAGCTGCGGAAACAATGGATGGTGGGATTGGGTTTCGGGTTATGGGGTTCGTTTTTTCTTGCTTTTCCGCCACTTGAGTGTACACCCTTTACGCTTGCTGGCTGGATGAACGGATGGAATTATATGTTTAGCTTCCTGTTGGGCTGGTGTTATACGCCTGTAGTAGTCATTGGCGCGTTTGGATGATGGGTTATACGCAACATAGATAGCGGTCTTTATTTGGAACAGTTTAATTTACTCCTTTTTATACTTCTGACCTTCTTCTTTCTCCTAATTTGGTTTCTCTTTCAGCTCTATAGATACTCATCCTCTGCCACGAAGAGTTGTATCTAATACCAAAAGATGTTAAACTCAAAGAGATAAGTTGAATTAACCTGCTCAAGTCAGCAGTGTGTTCAGGTGTAGGGAAAAGTTATACTGACAAAAAAAAAAAAAAAAAAAAAAAAAAAAAAAAGGGGAAAGAAGGAAAGAAAGAAAATTAAAGATCATGTTATTAGCAAGTCTTAGTTTCGATCCAGGCGCGGCGCGCTTCCGCTGCGCCAACATGCTTGCTTGTGGTATTTTCTTTCCTGTAGCAGTGATGCAAATCCAAAACCCAGATCCTTCAATACCTCGAACAGTGGCGACAATGTATATGAACCAATCACAGGGCTATCGCTTAGCTATACGATTTGAAAGTTGAAAGGGCGCTACTGCGCTTATCGGCTCGGATAAACCTTCCAATGTCTGGAGAAACCAAAAATTTTTGGAACTGGATAAGTGGGCTCCGACGTCAAAGCGAGAGATTCGAACGGTTTTGCTCTCATTTCTCCATTCCTTCAAGAGCAAAAGTGTGCGGACTTTTAAGATGGAGGACCAGGTCAACAGGCCGCATCGGAAGTCGAAGGAGAAGAAGAAGAAAAATAAGGATCTGTCTGGTACGTTGCCTCGACCAATTTTTTTCACGGAAACCGTACCTTTACCTATACGGAAACGAATATCTAATATCTTCTTTGAGCAGGGGCAAATCCTAAAGCTTTTGCTGTCGCTCATGCCGGCCGTCTACAAAAACAGGCTGCTAGATCTCACGATGTTCGTCGCACTCGTATCCTTCCTAGAGTATTTCGGGCTAACTATAGTCTGGTGAAATATTTAGATTAAGGAAAAGAGACTCCATGTCCCGCTCGTGGATCGCCTGCCCGAAGAGGCGCCACCCATAGTTGTTGCGGTGGTTGGCCCACCAGGGGTACGTATATGCAGTTTCTGAATGCGCTTGCGCTTTTGCTACGATGATGCTAGGATATGCTTATATCTATTTTCGTATGCAGGTTGGAAAAACTACACTGGTTAAATCCCTCATCAAGCGCTATACGAAGCAAACACTAAGTTCTCCAGCTGGGCCTCTCACTGTTGTCACATCGAAAAGAAGGCGATTGACATTCCTTGAATGCCCGTCCGATTCGCTAGCAAGTATGATTGATGTTGCCAAGATTGCGGATATCGTCCTTCTCATGATTGATGGTAATTATGGATTTGAAATGGAGACTATGGAATTTCTTAACTCATTGTCTGCAAGTGGTATGCCAGGAAACGTCTTTGGAATCCTAACTCATCTCGATCTATTTAAGAAACAGAGTACTCTTCGACAAGCTAAGAAGCGCTTAAAGCATCGATTCTGGAGTGAATTATATCAGGGTGCGAAGCTGTTTTACCTCTCAGGCGTTATCAATGGACGCTACCCTGATCGGGAAATACACAATCTGTCCCGGTTTTTGTCTGTAATGAAGAACCCTCGACCGCTCATATGGAGAAACTCACACCCTTATTGTCTGGCTGATCGGTTTTTGGACATCACCGCCCCAACAGCAGTCGAGGAAAATCCCAAGTGTGATAGAACAGTTGCGCTCTATGGCTACCTTCGAGGTACCAATTTCCCTGCACTTGGCGCAAGGGTGCATGTGCCCGGTGTAGGTGATCTCAGTGTCTCATCAATAGAAGCGCTCCCCGATCCATGTCCAACGCCCTTCATGGACAAAGCAATGGCGAAAGCAACTGGGAAACCAGGTAGAAGGAGGCTAGGTGAGAAGCAGAAGCTTCTGTTTGCTCCTATGTCTGATGTTGGTGGTGTACTCGTCGATAAGGATGCAGTTTATATTGATGTTAAGACATCTACGTTTGATAGGGATGCTGAAAATGATGAAAAGAAGGGTCTGGGGGAGCAACTCGTTGTTGAGTTACAAGGCGAACGAAAATTACTTGGACAGGCAGAGTCTGGTGTCAGATTGTTCA